TGTTTTCTGATTGTTTTGTATATCTTTTTTCTTTGCATCCTCTCTTATTGTTTATTTTTGCAGTTTGGTGGTTTTCTGTACTGGTAAGGTTTGATTCCTTTTTCTTTCTCTTTGGTGTATTGGTTGTGCCAGTGAATTTTATGATTTCATGTGTTTTTATGATAGTGATTGTAGTCTTTCAGATGTAGCACTCCCTCAAGCATTTCTTGTAAGGCTGGTCTAGTGATGATGAATTCCTTTAGCTTTTGCTTTTCTGGGAAAGTCTTTATTTCTCCTTCATTTTGGAAAGGTAGCTTTGTTGGGTATAGTATTCTTGGCTACCAGGTTTTTTTTTTTTTCTTTCATTACTTTGAACATATTCTCTCTTATCCTCTAAAATTTTTGCTGAGAAATCTGCTGTCAGTCTAATGAATATTCTGCCTTTATATGTGATTTGACATGTTTCTCTTGCTGTTTTTAGAATTTTTTCCTCATCTTAGACTTTTACCAAATTGACGATAATGTTCCTTGGAGAGGACCTATTTGGGTTGAACCTATTTGGGAATCTTTGAGCTTCCTATTTCTGGATGTTCATCTCTCTCAACATTTAGGTTGTTTTCAGCTATTATTTCATTAAATAGGTTTTCTACATGTTTTCTCTTCTCCTTCTAGACTCCAAAATACAAATATTTGCTTGCTTAATGGTGTCCCTTATATTCTGTAGGGTTTCATTCCTTTTTTCTTCCTTCTATTTTTTTTCTTTTTCTTGCTTGAATTATCTTAAAATACCTGTCTTCAAGTTCAGAAATTCTTTCTTCTGCTTGGTCTAGTCTGCTGTGAAGCTGTTGATTGCAATTTTTTTCTTTCATTAATCGATTTCTTCAGCTCTTAAGATTTCTTTTTGGTCTTTCTGTGGTATCTATCTCTTTCCTGAATTTCACATTAAAATCATGGATTTTTTTCCTGATTTCATTGAGTTGTCCATCTGTATTTTCTTGGATCTCACTGAGTTTCCTTAAGATTATATTTTAAATTCTTTTTCTGGCATTTCATATATTTCCTTATGCTTGGAGCCTGCTACTGGAGAATTATTATATTCTTTTGGAGGTATCATGTTGCTTTGCTTTTTCATGCTTACTGTGTCTTTATGTTGATTTCTACACATCTGGTGAAACAGTCTCCTCTTCCATTTATATAGAGTAGGTTTCTTAAGGAAATACTTATTCTTATAGGTGGGTCTTGGGGTGTCAGTTGGGTGGAGAGCATTAGCTTTGGTTCTAGGTGGATTTGGTAGTTTAGTCTCCATGCAGTTTCTTCAGCTGTATTCCCTCATGCTACTTATGATGCAAATGTCTCAGTGACCTAGGCTGCAAGAATTTGTGGTGGTGGTGGCATGGCTTTGCTCGGGTGGGCCCACTGGGCTGTTTCTTCAGCTTAGGGTGTGTGCATGCACATGTTGTGTCAGCCAACTTGAAGTCTGTCTCACTGAGGTAGGGGCCACAGGGCTGTAACTCTGGTTGGGGGCATGCATACACAGCCACTCAGGTGTCCCAAGAGCATGTCCATATATGGTGGGCCTGACAGACTATTTTTTCATCCCAGGCATGGGCAAGCAGCCACTCAGTCAGCCTGGAGCTTTGTCTGCTGGGCTGTTACTCTAGACAGGGGTGCAGGTATACAGCTGCTTGGCCAGCCCAAGGGCATTTCTCAGGTCTTGGGCACAGTTGCTCAGCTGTTCAGCTGGCCTGGAATCATCAGGTATTCCACTTGAGGGCCTCTCCTGCTGAGACAGGGTGTGGAGCAATTTTGCCAACTCAAAAAGAATAAGTTCCAAGAGAAAAATCACTTTTTTAGAAGAGACCATTGGTCAGGTACATTCCAAATTTTGCCCTCTCCAGTTTCCCCTGTTCTTATAAAGCTTTTGTTCTGATGGGCAGGTAGAAAGACAATATAGCAGGTACACAAATATGTGACATAAAAGGTAATGACAAATAGTATGAAGGAAAATGGATGTGGGGAAGGATAAGAGATAGTGTCTGCAGGCAGGCTAAGACTGAAACTATACATTAAATTTTTAAAAGATTAAATCTATGAATTAAAAAATATTTAAAACATATCCAATCACAGTGAGGTCCTTATTTTGATCCTGATTTAAATAGATAATTTGCAAAATAACTGGGAGTTTGAGCACAGATATTTGATGATATTACAGAATTGTTAAAATTTTTTACATATGATATGATAAAATGGTGTTGTGGTTATATTTTATACTTTGGAGATAAATGCTGAAATATTCGCAGATGCAGTGATGGGATGTTGGGTATTTGCTTCCAAGAGCTACAGAAGGAGGAGGGAGTGTGTAGGTATAGATGCAAAGTATTGGCAAGGAGATAATGCTTATTGAAGCTGCATGATGAGTTCGTAGGATCTGTTATACTAGTTTTTCTCCCTTTGTGTTTCCGTTAAAAGAAGCTTTAAAAAAAATGCCTTCAAGAAATAAATGAATAAATTAGAGAATTTAAATTAATATCAAGCCACTTTACCAAGTACAGCTTTCTGATTCTACAATACTAACTTTAGCAAAGCTGTAAAATTCAAATGATAATATGCTTTCAAAAATGTGAAAGATTAAAAAGATGCAAAATACTAATAATCCTAATGAATAGGATCTATTGAGATCTTACTACATGCCAGGAACCGGGATAGAGCTATATGTGAAATATTTTACTTAATCCTCTTAACAATTTCATGATCAAGGTACTACTGTTCCTATTTTATAAATGAGGAAATTAAGAGTCAAAAAAATATAGGGGCCAGGAGCAGTGGCTCCATGCCTGTAACCCCAGCACTTTGGGAGGCCAAGGTGGGAGGATTACTGGAGGCCAACAGTTGGAGGTGAGCCTGGGCAACATAGCAAGACCCCTGTCTCTACAAAAAATTAAAAATTAGCTGGGCATAGTTGTGCTCACCTGTAGTCCCAGCTACTAGGGAGGCTGAGGCAGGAGGAGAGCTTGAGCCCAGGAGTTCAAGGCTGTAGTAAGGTATCATTGCACCACTGAACTCCAGCCTAGGTAACAGAGTGAGACCCCATCTCTTAAAAAAATAGGTAACTTGCTCAAAGTCAAACAATTTAGTTGAAGAGTGAAATTTCAAGCTCAAGCAGTTTGACTCCATGTATTAATAGAACCCCCACTCATAACCACTGTGTTTTTCTTTCGTCCTTGGAAAATCTCAGTTGTTTAGATGTTGTTGCCAATACCTGAAGTAAGATGACAGAAAGTGTCACCTATGTATATCCCATGTGTATCCCTTTCCTTCTCCTCCAGTGAAGTACATGGAATGTATGTCTTCAAGACCATTGCAGAATGAGGTTGAATTAGCAATAACAACTACAGCTGGATTTTTATCCAGGTACCTCCAGGATCCTCTCTAAGGGGACTCCATACAGAGCCACAACTGATCACTTAGAGTAGGGCATTCCTTCATGCCACATCATGTATGGAACTGAGACATCACTTTACTTGGTTTTCTATGGAAAGTTGGCCTCTGTTACCATATGAGGTGGGTATAATCTTAGGATATTGTTCATATCCTAAGATATATTTATTAATCTAACTCATACATTATAAATATATGTTCAGGAAGGATAATTTGAATGATGACTCCTTAATAGGACTTTCAAGGCCATACAAGATCTGGTTCTGATATCCTCTTTATCCATACTTCTCTCCATTTCTTTATTAATATGGCAGTTCAAACAGTTACCCAAACCTGCCATGATCCAGCTCATCTGAGAGCCTTCTCACATGCTCCACTTGTCTTCTCAATGTTCATTCTTCTTGGGGCTAATTCCTACTAAGGCTTCAATGTTTCATTTTGATGCCTATTCCTCCAGAAATCCTTTCATGCATCTAAAGGCCCTAAACTATGGTCACAATCCACTTTACAATGTTATTTTGTCCCTTTTGAGGCAATGCGAGCTGACTTCTTTATACTTTCCTAACCCTAAAATAAAGAGTTTTCAATCTGTGATGAATCTTTCTGTTTTAGCCTAGCTGGTTTGCCAAGAGGATGCCATAGGCCACTAGGATAAGATGAAGCAAAGTAGAAAAGAGTTTGCAGTAATTAACATAATGTTAAAAGCATGTCTGTAAATTGAGCACTTATGGTGCACAAGGCTCTGCACTGTGTGATGTATACATTTTGTCACAGTAACTCTAAAACAAGTACAATTATTTTCAGCATTTTAGAGATAAAATAAGAGGTTTATTATTTTTTTTCAGACATGAAGTCCTCCAGGGAAAAAATAAGATGTTTAGAGAATTTTACCAATATCACACAGGTAGCAAGAGACATAGCCAGGACTTAAGCACAGATTTGTGTGACTTTATTTTTTTCTCCTTTTTTTTTCCTTTCAGAACATTACAGGGGTACAAACGCATTGGCACATAAATTGCCTTTGCACCGCCTGAGTCAAAGCTACAAGCATGCCCATCCCCCAGATAGTGCACACTACATTCGGTGTGAATTTACCCACACCGAATTTACCCACATTTACTCACATTCGGTGTGAATTTCCCCTCCTCCCTGTGTGACTTTAGACTATACCTTGTGTTGCTATAACTCTCCTAAATGGTTAGGAAACCTCATGAGAAAAGGCTGAGACCAAGGCGATGGTGGAGATACCTGCCCCCATAGATCTTTTAGGGCTTTCCTTAACCTTTTCCTTTAACTAAGCCTCCAGTTACTAAAGAGCTTTATACACATTCTCAGCCTCCAGGCCCAGGAGAAGGAAGGGGCACATCTCACCTTACCTAAATTCCATCACGTCACTCCTTGGCTCCCCAGCCTTCTGGGCCTTTCAAGCTCGACTCAGCCCATCCTGCAGAGATCATTCATGGATGTTCAGCACAGGAATCTTAAGAGCCTTAAGGGCCTCTGCCATGTTCAATCACTAGGAACTAAGGAACAACACCTGGCTAGCAGCCAGCAGAGCCTGGCCAGGAACGGACTTCCGGCTCCACCGGATGTGCCAGGGGCCACGGTGTGCAACGGCTGCCCGCCATTTTGGACTCAACCCGCCGAGTTCCCGGAGGGCGCTCCCGTGACCCTCCGTTCCCAGCTGTGTCTGGAAGTGGATGCAACCGGCCCTTAAGTGAGGCTCTTCGCAGAGGCCCTGAGTACTCCTTATGCTGACGTAATGTTTATTGAATTGTTTCAGGGTCTTTCTCTTAGCCTTTTCTGGAATCCCAGGTCTGTTTAGACAGATCACCCCAGCAGCACTTCCTTCCCGCATTGTTGTGTTTCTCTTTTTGAATGTTATGCGTAATGATAACCCATTTCCTTCTTAAAACATTCTTGGGGTAAACATCCTAAGGTAGGTTTATTTTATTGGATTTTTGACAGAAAGGAAATTTCCAAGACCAGAGTGGCTGGGTTGCTGAAAGATTGCTGTGTTAGAGAACTAGGAGTTCGCATCCTGAGGGCTTAATGACGGTAGACAAGACTTTCTCCCAAACACACCCTGAGATAGATTCTGTAAATATACTCATTTTATGAATGAGGAAACCGAAGCTTAAGTAAAATGTCCACTGTTACTCAGCCAGTAAATGGTAAAGCCAAAATTCCAGTACCAAACAGTTCCAAAAGCCTCATCTTCTTAACCAGAACCCTACTGCAGAATATAAAACATCTGGGGCCAATCAGCTTCCCTTTTTAAGGCATGGATGTCTAATTTTTGTTTTGCCATTCAAAAATATGACTAAGATATGCTTTATTGGCTTTCTGTTAAAAATACAGAATAGTTAAAGCAAATAAAATATAATTAGGTTGTGTATTGTGAACAAATAACAATGGAAACAGGTTTACAATAATATTGAGACAGGGAAAAATACAAAAAAGAGTAAGTGATAAAAAGACAAACCTGTCCCAACCTCCTGAGACCCAGATATCCTGAGAGGTTCTACAGAAAAGAATGACCAACAGTTGGAGAGCCAGGCATATCTGGAGAGTTTCTGACCATATATAGAAATGGAACTTAAAGCAAAAAAGAAATGAAATCCATTTTCAAAATCTAAGCTCTCACAAAATGGAACTTCTTTTAGTTCTTGGAGCAGACCCAACTCTGTCTTCTGGGCTGTCATGCCTGGTTTTCTGTTTGCTTCACAAACTATTTAATAGTTTCCCCTCCTCTCCAGGCTTATTTCCATACAGCCTGTAGGTCTCAGCTTCTGTAGTGCTTCCTTTGTAAAGCATTCCTGGACTTCCTAAGTCTGTTTTGATGCTCTTGGGCAGGGTGCCCACCACCTCATATCTTCTAAACTGCTTTGTTGTTAAGGTAAATCCATTACTGTGTAGTCATTGTTTCTTTCTTTTGACATTGTGTGGCAGCAGTCCCCAACCTTTTTAGCACCAGGGACTGGTTTCATGGAAGACAATTTTTCCACACACTGGGCGAGGGAAGGATGGTTTCAGGATGATTCAAGTGCATTGCATTTATTGTGCAGTCAAACCTCTCTGCTAATGATAATCCGTATTTGCAACCAACCTAAATCCCTCACATTCGCATGCAGTTTTTAGTAGGGTTTGTGTTCCTATGACAATCTAATGCTGCTGCTGATCTGACAGGAGGCGGAGCTTATATGGTGATGTGAGTGATGGGGTGCGGCTGTAAATACAGATGAAGCTTCACTTGTTTGCCCGCATCTCACCTCCTGCTGTGTGGCCTGGTTCCTAACAGGCCATGGACCTCCGCTGGGGACTGCAGCTGTATGGGACTGTTTTTTTGTTTTTTTTTTTTTTTTAGAGACAGAGTCTCACTTTGTTGCCTAGGCTAGAGTGAGTGCCGTGGCATCAGCCTAGCTCACAGCAACCTCAAACTCCTGGGCTCAAGCAATCCTGCTGCCTTAGCCTCCCAAGTAGCTGGGACTACAGGCATGCACCACCATGCCCGGTTAATTTTTTATATGTGTATTTTTAGTTGGTCAATTAATTTCTTTCTATTTTTAGTAGAGATGGGGTCTTGCTCTTGCTCAGGCTGGTTTTGAACTCCTGACCTCAAGCAATCCGCCTGCCTCGGCCTCCCAGAGTGCTAGGATTACAGGCGTGAGCCACCATGCCCGGCCAGGACTGTTTTCATTCGAGTGTATTTTCCTTTGGCTTGAAAAACTTAAAATTTTGCTATTTTGTTTTTTAATTACTGAGTAATGAGGCAACAGAATTCTATTCCATACCCAGTAATATGCTGGTATGTGATAAGAACTTAATAAACAAATGAATGAGTTCCACAACCTAGTCAACAGATCATAGTCTTCTATATCTCATGCTTTCTGTTATATTTAATGAATGATTAATGTGGAAGCAAAAGTCAAATTAAGTTCTCTGTAAGTCAGCTTAAGCCTAATAAATTACATTTAAGAGAGAATTCATGAGAGCATAAATTGACTCTCAGAAACAGGTTAAAAAAAAAAAAGCCCAGTCGTAAAGGAACCGTTTTCTGTTGAGAGAGTTTGAGTTGACCTGCATCTGGCTTGGAGTTACAGCCTCCAGACTACATTCACTTATTCAGCAAACATGTACAGTTGACCCTTAAACAAAATGAAGAACAAAAGACAGATTAACAAGAGAGAAGCATGGCAGATTTATTCATCAACATTTTACTTGGACCATGAGAAATGAAGACTAAAAACACAGGAAAAATTGTGTGTTTTTAATTTAATTTTTTTAGAGACTAGAGTCTCAACTATGTTGCCCAGGCTGGCATTGAACTCCTGGGCTCAAGTGATCCTCCCACCTCAGCCTCCCACATGGCTGGTACTACAGGCACATGCCACTGCACCCAGCTATGTATGTATTTTTATTCTTAGGTTTGATGAAGGATGAAAAGTTGTGTACAAATGTGATTGGACAAAAAGATTATGATCTAATAATGGTAATAAGCTGGGGGTTACTTAACAAGGCCTGTTTTTTCAGATTCTTCTTGGCCTCTCTGTGTAACATTTCTTTCCTCTAGGTATAGGACAGGACACCTGTCACATGAGATAGGTCCTTTATGGTTAGCTCTTACACAGAAAGGTGGGGGGAAGTCAGAGATCTGTTTCTGACCTTGATTCCTGAGTCAGTAGAAGTTGGCATGATACCAAAAAAGAAATTTAAACAGGCAAGGCTTTATTGGAGCTTTTGCACAAACAAAAAGGAGACATTGCTGGTTAAGGAGCAACCAGACTGGCTCTCCAAACAAAGGGCTGGGGAACTTATAAAGGGAAGAAAGAGAAAGTTTAGCATCAGCACTGAAATCATAGCACATGGAGGTGAGGTTTTGTTGGCAACCGCCCATCTGGCAATCATGCTTCTTCATCATCACGTGTCTCGTTAACATGTTAAATTTCCACCCTTGGGCATGATTTTTAGCTTTAAAATGAAGTTCTACAGGCAGTCAGCTTTGTAGTTCACCTTGGCAGCAGCCAGTTTGTGCAGGTTCTGACTGGGGCCAGCAGGCCCCTGCTCCAGTGCTTGCCAAGTCTTGTTAAAGAAAGCAGAGGTACCTTCTTTTGAATTTGGGTGTTAATTATTTTCAGGGTACTTTGTTCAGTATGATAAGCAGACAAGCTTTGGCTCAAGGCTCAGGCTGGTGGCCAAAGTCCACCTCCTATACTATCTTAGAATGACTTCCAAGGTGCCATTTTGGGGTAATGTTCTGAGTACCAGCACCATTGAAACATATTTTTGCCTCTTTTTATTGCTATGGAGATCCCTATTGTTATAAGTCTTGTTGAACTGGCTCCAGCTTTCCCAATGCTGATAATGGACATGCCCGATCCTAATTCAAACATCAGCTAAGATATCCATGGTGTAGCTCCTGTATCTTTCTGAATCTCCCTGTCTGTCTGCCTCTATTTCTCTTTCCTTCTCTCCCTCTCTTTTTTTCTCTCAGTTCTGTTGTCATGTAATATTATAGTTTGAATCAGTAGTTGTAACCATGTAACCACTTTCTTCTTCTTCTTCTTCTTTTTTTTTTGAGACAGAGTCTCACTTTGTTGCCCAGGCTAGAGTGAGTGCTGTGGCATCAGCCTAGCTCACAGCAACCTCAAACTCCTGGGCTCAAGCAATCCTCCTGCCTCAGCCTCCCAAGTAGCTGGGACTACAGGCATCCGCCACCATGCCTGGCTAATTTTTTCTATATATATTAGTTGGCCAATTAATTTCATTCTATTTATAGTAGAGACGGGGTCTCGCTCTTGCTCAGGCTGGTTTCAAACTCCTGACCTGGAGCAATCTGCCCGCGTCGGCCTCCCAGAGTGCTAGGATTACAGGCATGAGCCACCGCGCCCGGCCTCTTCATTTTGATTAGTTGTATTTTCCCTCTTTTCTTTACTGCTACCAAAGACTGATCTGCTTTCCCCCTACAAATCAAGTTTTGGACCCATTTCTGGACCTACTGTTTTATGCTCCCAATTCCTTTATTTTGTCTTCAATCAGAATTATGCCCTTTCTTCTGCATTATTTGTGTTTGATATTGTTCTTATTAGATGAATTACAGTGTTTACTTGTTCAATCTTCTTTAGTAATAACAGGCTTTGATTGTGAATTTGCCTTTGATTAAAACTTTGCTCTTGGCTGGGCGCGGTAGCTCATGCCTGTAATCCTAGCACTCTGGTAGGCCGAGGCGGGTGGATTGCTCAAGGTCAGGAGTTTGAAACCAGCCTGAGCAAGATTGAGACCCCGACTCTACTAAAAATAGAAAGAAATTAATTGGCCAACTAAAAATATATAGAAAAAATTAGCCGGACATGGTGGCGCATGCCTGTAATCCCAGCTACTCGAGACTGAGGCAGAAGGATTGCTTGAGCCCAGGAGTTTGAGGTTGCTGTGAGCTAGACTGATACCATGGCACTCTAGCTCGGGCAACAGAGTGAGACTCTGTCTCAAAAAAAAAAAAAAAAACTTTGCTCTAATCTCAAGCATTTCCATATATGTGTTAGGATAAATACTAATCTAAAAATTCCAAGTATTAAATTTTTCTTGGTGCCAAAGGGGAAAGAGGATTTTCCTTCCTCCTCTCTTTCCTTTCAACATCTCTTTCAGAAAACTTGTAATCCTAAATCATTTGTCTCTTTCAGATGTATGTAAATATTTTTATTAGTAAAAGCTAAATAAGCCTCTTGCCACTTTTGCATTCCAGGACTTTCTTGGAGCCACCTCTGTGAAATGTGAATATAGAGGAGGATGAGTCCTGTCTCCCTAGGAGTTTAGTCCAAGTACTTGGCTCCAAGTTGTAACTTCCTTCTTCTCGAAGACGTAGAAGTTTTATTTTTTTTCCTTTGGACAGAGACAATTAACATGTATGTCATGGATTATCATCTGCCTGCCTGGCTAATAGGGTGAGGTTTCTGTCTTTGCAGTCTCTTTAACAGATTACTTCCTAGCGTGTGTATCAGTCTGGTTTAATATTTATTCAATAATAAAACTGTTTAATTTTTGTGTACATTTTGTGGAGAAGTTGTACTGGCTTGGCAGGAGATTTTATTTTCAGTGATTTCTCTAATAGTGTACTTCTGTTGTTTTATGATCTGTTCATTGTGGTTGCTGTTATTCTTATTAGGCTATTAAGTATGAAACATCTAGATTCCTTAAGTACTAAATTTGATAGTTGATATCTCTGACATTTCACTTTGACGCTTGTTTTAGTTTTATATAGAAGATACATCCTCTGTCTTGCAAAGGCATGTTTTAGCTTGTGCTTATCTTTCAGTTTTTTTTAAAGTAATTTTTGTGAAACTATGAGTATATAAGCTACTTTATAAGTTGCTTCAGTGGCATTATTTCCAAGTCTTATTGAGGCTTGAAAGAATTGTCTTTGCTTTTCATCTTTTAATTTCTAGAATACAAAACCTTTCACACCTCTCCCTCTAATTTAAAATATTTGTGGTCCTTATGAGTGTTATAATGCTGATGAGCATTGAATTTCTTTAATGTCAATATTGCAGTAAAAAAGCAAACAAATCATCTTATCTTTAGCAGAAACAAGATAATATTGCCATTCCCAATCCTCATTAAAAAATCTGTTGTCTTCCTTCAGTGTTCTCTTGATCTTCTTTGGCATGATGGGCTGTTAAGCACACAGAATTAAAAAATACTGTTGACTGTGCACTTATTCACAAATTCCATTTCAAACAGAAACACAGTGCACCATTGTCAAAAGCTGATAACAGAGTGGCATTCTCGATCCCCATAAACTCTCACCAACTAGCCTTGTGCAGTAGTGGCTCCAGTCAGGTGGGGGAAGTTAGAATGAAATCATGAGCACAGCAGCTGTCAATTTAGCCCTTATGGCTTACTAATGTTCTGATTGTGTGGGTCAATCTGTGAGGGTTATTTCATTGAAATTTATTTTATTCTTTGATATTTTATATATGTTCATTTAAAAATAAGATAAAAATATAAAAGACCAACAAAAATGTATTAATAAAAATAAAAGGATTAGTTCTGTAAAATTTGAATTCAGTCAAAAGGCCACACTTAAGGACCTAGAAGACCACATGTGCCTTAAGGCCACAGGTTCTCCACCCATGGGCTAGACTCTGTAAGGACGACTGCAGGGTGGATTGTATTCAAAGTGAATATGAAGCCACTTTCCATTTTGCTGGTTATTAAAAACAGCAAAAAAGAAAGAAAATGAAGCCACTAGAGTTTTTTTTTATTTCAGCATATTATGGGGGTACAAATTTTAAGGTTTCAAATAATGCCCTTTCTCCCCCTCCCCCCACAAGTCTGATTTTCCAGCGTGACCATCCCCCAGACAGTGCACATCTCACTCATTATGTATGTATATACCCACCCCCCTACCCTATGCTCAATTACTGTAGTTCCTATGTGTCCACTTAGGTGCTGCTCAGTTAATACCAGTTTGCTGGTGAGTATATGTGGTGCTTGTTTTTCCATTCTTGGGATACTTCACCTAGTAGTATGGGTTCCAGCTCTAACCAGGAAAATATAAGATGTGCTATATCACTGTTGTTTCTTAGAGCTGAATAGTACTCCATGGTATACATATACCACATTTTATTAATCCACTCTTGGATGGATGGGCACTTGGGTTGTTTCCACAGCTTTGCAATTATGAATAATTGACACTAGAGTTTTGAACAGAGGAGTGACATGATCGGACTTGGACAACAGAGGGCGCAAAGGCAGAAGCTGGGAGACAAGTTCAAAGGCCACTGCAATATCGGGGATAAGAGATACTGGTGGCCTGGTCAAAGTGCAAGTGATGAGAAGTGGTTAGAATCTAGGTACATTTTGGTGAATAGATGTGGACTTTGGGGACAATGTCCATAGTTGGTGATCTTTTTTTTTTTTTTAGGGGACCAATTTCATTGCATTCAAATAGTTGGTGATCTTAATGGTGAAGGCAAAAAAGGAAAGTATGGGCCAATTCAAAGCCTCTAAAGCTCAAGGAATAGATCTGAACCCCTGAGGTTCTGGACCCCATGTCCCCAGAACCTGAGAGGGCCCCAGAGTCTCAGGCTTGCAAGACCCAAATTGTGGGGTTGAGCCGGTGTTTGGCTCCATGATGGATGAAAAAGGCTTTGTGCGCCATGCTGGCCCGGGACGGGTGCCACGCAAGGGGACTTCTGAGGATTTCTACCTTATTCTGCACAGGTTCCCAGAGATGAGCAATCCAGCCCCACCCAAGCTCCTGGAACTTGCAGCCCACAGCCTGCTGAGCAACGAGGCTTCAGTTATACTTGCCTTGGAAGAGTTCACAGTTGACCTCTTCCCGCCACTACTCACTGCCGCGTTTGCCGGGGGGCACAAGAAGGCACTGAAGGCCTTGGTGGAGGCCTGGCCCTTCCCCTTTCTCCGTCTGGGCTCTCTGATAGTGCAGTGGCCCAACCAAGACAGCTTGCAAGCTGTGCTGGATGGGCTGGGGACATCGCCTGCCCTCAGGGCTTGTCCCAGGTAAGGGGGATGCTGGGATCAAGGGGGACAGATGGGGACTCGATGGTTTCCAGGTTAAGTGCATTAAGGAGCAGGATTTTCCCCGGCTAGGGATTATGGTGCAGGCTCTGTGAGGAACCAGGACTGGGAAGAGGCCCAAGCACAGGAGGAAAAGCCCCTTTGAAAGGGTGGGCTGGGTGGGCTGGTGCTGGGGTGCTCATCTTACCTGGGCCTCCAGGTGGTAGCATCTCAACACACTCCTCTCCCCACAGGAGGTCGGAACTGAGGGTGCTGGATTTGACCCTGGACTTTGAGCAGGTCCAAAGTAAAGGGGCCTCTGAGGCCTTGGCCAGATTCCCATTCTGGTTACCATCAACAGTCAAGGCAGAGATGCCCCAGGCTGTGGCCAGGCCCAGGCCAGCAGAGGACACAAGAAAAGGACCGAAGCAGCCATGGGAACCAGTGGAATTGCACATTGATCTTTTCCTGAGAGGCCCCTTCAAGTTGGACACGTTCCTCTCCAGCCTCCTGACCAAAGTGGAGCGGAGCCGTGGCTCCCTGCGCCTCTGCTGCAGGAAGCTGCACATTGAGGAGATGCCCTTCAACAGTCTGGTAGGGATCCTGCAGACGCTGGAGCTGGACTTCATCCAGGAGCTGGAGGTGTTTGACTGGTTCCGGGCGCTGTCGGAGCAGAGCCTGTTTGCCACGCAGCTGGGGAGGATCTGCAACCTGCGCAGCCTCAAGCTGGCCTACTACCACTGGGCCTTCCCCCCTGAGGGCGAGCAGTCCTCCAGCTGTTTCCTGTCCCAGCTCAGCAAGCTCGGCCACCTCCAGAAGCTCCACCTATCCTACTCCTACCTCTCGGGCAACTTACATCAAGTGCTCAGGTGAACGGGTGGGCAGGGACCTTCACAGAGTCCCCAGAATGCCCCCATTCTTTCTTTTTTTTTAAAGATACTTTAGTCAAAGTCAAACAGCAAGTATCTGGGGTTCAGATGCAGCTCCTGGCTGGAATGCCCCCAAGTCAGGTCAGGGCAGGGAGCGAGACAGGAAGTGGGGCCCATTCTTAGGTGTTCATGGAATTGTGGGTGCAGCCTGGGCAACTGAGGTTCATTTTCTTTCTTTCTTTTTTTTTAAAGATACTTTAGTCAAAGTCAAACAGCAAGCACCTGGGGTTCAGATGCAGCTACTGGCTGGAATCTGCTTTGGAACACAGTTTTGGTGGGAAAGAGGACACATTGCTAAAAAACAAAATTACAACAAATTTTGTTTAAAGATCTAATTGGCTTTCTTTTGTGATTCACAAATTGGGGCAGCCTCCCATTCTGTAAAATAGAATAAGAGTTATGATGATCTGAACAGAGGAAATTGGCCTTATAGGCAGAAAAGGGTTGAAAAAAGCAGAAGTAAGGAACAAAAAGCAGATTGTTTCAAAGTTACTTTCCTTATAGGAAGAGAAGAGGGGCTTTTTTATCATGTTGGGCCCCCTCTGGTTGGCTGCTGTGACTCTCCTGTTTTTTTGGAAAATTGACCAGTTTCAAAGTTCAGTTGGCACTTAGCACAAATGACTCCATTCTGGTTTGGTCTGGTTTGGTCTGGTCTGGTCTGTTGGGGCCTAGTGCGGGAGCTTAGTCCAAAACAATGGGCTTTGTTTTTTTATTTACTGATATGCTCATTTACTCAACAAATCTTTTGGGGCACTGCTGAGTTCTGGGCAGGAAAAAGCCAGACACAACACAGCTCAGGCCTGTCCTCCTGGAGCTCATGCTGCCCTGGACACATGGGTGCAGAGCCTGGCAGGACAACTGTGGGAAGGAAGCATCTTACTTGGCTCATGTCCCCTAGAAATTTCCCCTAGAAATGTCCCCTAGAAATTTCCAGGTGGGACATTTAGTGCGCCCAGCCCAGCTCTGGTTAAACAGAAGCCTGAGTGGTAGCTTCCCCAAACCCAAACCTGAGGAATTATGGGCTGTCTGTGAATCCCTTATTATCAAATAAGCTCCTTCTGTCCAAACCGCTCCTCAGCAGTCCTGTCAGGTATGCATAACGCGGGTCTCTACTTCACCAAAGAGAAACTTAGAGTCAGAAGGGTTCAGGGAGGACCTGGTAGGTCTATTGAGACAGAGCCAGGCCTTGGGACACCAAACAACCTGTCCCTAAACACGCTGGTAAATGGCGTCCCAGATGAGGAAGTGTCCTGAGACCGGCCCCTCTGTGGGCAGGCAGGTTGAGGCAGAGCACCTAGGTCCTCCCCTGAGGCAGCTGCATCTTCTCTCCTCAGGTGCCTGCAGGCCCCGCTGCTTGCCCTGGAGATCCGCTCCTGCACACTCCTGGACACCGACATCACCTACTTGTCCCAGAGCCTTCACGCCACCTGCCTGAGGAAGCTGGATCTGAGCGGCAACAACCTGTCTTATATGGTCCCTGGGCCCTTAGAGACCCTGCTGGCAAAGGTCTCAGGGACACTGCAACACCTGGACCTGAACCACTGCCGGCTGAAGGACGCCCACCTCAGTGCCATCCTGCCAGCCCTGTGCCGCTGCTCCCGCCTCACCTCCCTGGGTCTCTCCGACAACCCCGTGTCCAGGGCAGGCCTGCTCAGCCTGCTGGAGCGCACGGCAGGGCTGGCGGAGCTGAAGCGGGTGCTCTACCCCATCCCGATTGAGTGCTGCGTGTACCTGCATGGCCTGTCCTGGGGGCCTGTGAACAAAGGCAGGCTGTGCCAGGTGCAGGCTGAGATGCAGAAGCTGCTGCAGGCTGTGCAGCGGGCCGACATGCAGTGGAGCCCCCCGCTGCCCTCGCCTTTGCCCGTGAGGCTGGTGCAGCTCGACTGAGGGGCCGAGGCAGGGCCTGGGGAACCGTGGCCAGAGAGGGCAGCTGGAGGCGTGGTCGGAGCCACAGACTTCCTGTTGGGCACATGTTGTTTGCAGGGAACATAAAGGAGACTTCCACGGGATTGGTCTACTGCTTTCTTCTCTTCTGCCCCATCCGCAGCCCAGCACCTGGCCTGTTGCACGTGTTCATTTTGGCCCACATGTTACCGTCAGGAGCCAGGGATGGGAAGACCCCAGAGGCCCAGCCGTTCTGACATGTACTCCCTTTACTCACCTTACTCTTTGAGCCACTCGCTCAGCTTCTCTTTTGCTTCTGGGCAGAATGAAATAGGCACTAGGCTGACTTCCCCACCTAAAGGCATCACCTGTGCACTGGAGGCCTGAGCATCTCGGGGGGCGGCTAGGAGCGCGGACGAGATGCACACAGGGCACAGACACGGTGCATGCAAACCTCAACCAGCTGGTCGCCATGGAGCGTGGGACCAGGTGCTGTTGTGCTCAGACTGGGCATACAGAAGGCCTAGGACACAGCTCACAGTGACAGCAGGGGCACATCTGGTTAGCAAGTCCAATAGGGCAAGGTCAGAGAAGAGCCAGGGTTACCCTCTTTCACGCACAGTGTCACATGTGGAGGGCCAGCTCAGGAACCAAATAGTAATCTCAAAGGCCTGTGAGTGCAGAATGGTGGTTTTTATGTTATCCATTTATTTAACAAGTACCTGCTAAGCACCTACCCGTTGGCAGGTACTTTTGCAAGGGCTGAGGATAGAGCAAAAATAATGCTAGGTCCCTGCCGTGGTGGCGCGTACACTCTGCAGACACACAGGCTGGCGAATGAATGGCATGCTTTTGGGCTGGGACGGGGCCAAGTGAAGGAAGTGGGCCTGCTGGTGAGGTGGATGGGAGGGGACAGTCTGAGATAAGGCATCAAGCAAGGTCTGTCTGGGCAGAGAGGCTAGCACTGGGTGGCAACAGCCTGTCCAGCATGGGCATTTGGGCAGAGCCCTGAATAGGGGCAAACCCTCCAGGCAGAGGAACAGATAATTGCATGTTGGAGGAATACAGAAAATCTGGGGGCTTGATGCACTGTGCCCTTCTTTGCTGTGCCAAAAAATCAAACACTCCCCAAACCTTAACTCTAGTTACCAACCTCCAATCCACATGCCTTGCTCCTCTCTGATGCAGCGGTGCAGGCGTGTAATTGTAGCGGTTCTACGCGTCATCAGAGCATGGCATCGTGCATGCGAGATGAAATCCCATCGCTTCCTCTGGTGACATGTCTTTCCAACAGTGTGAGGGCACCAGTGCCGCCTGGCCTGTGTACACAAAGAAGCCAGAGGGCCTGGGTTACACGGCCAGCCATGACTCAGACTCACTTTCTCCTTGCCTGAGTCAGTGTTGCTATTTAGTCAGATGTTGGGGGATGCTTGCTTCCAGAATTCTCCCTGAGGTCATAAGACCTTCCTGCCACTGCCCAGCCACACCAGCATTTGTTTGAAGGTACTCTACAGTCCAGACTGAGGAACAAACCTTAGCCTCCAGGTCAGTGTTAGGAGAGCTGATGCTGCAATCTGGATCCAACCATTTGTGCCTCAATTTCCTCATCTATGAATTTAAGAATTTTGAATCATATAGTTAATCATAGTCCCTATCATACATGATTACACTGTGTTACATGTTACATGCTCAAGGGACTTTTCCAAGGTCCCATCACAAAGAAGTAGTGGTCAGTGGTGGCTGGCTGGGAGGCTTGGTGGGAGAATTCAGTGAGACAGTGCATGGAAAATCTTCAGCATATTGGCAGCCACGTGGGTCTTTTTCAGTAAGTGCTGGTTTCCTTTCCCATCTTGGTGCCGAGTGGACAGTCCAGAGTGTCCCTAAGAACAAGAAGCAGGTGTGCCAGCAGGCCTCATGTCAGCCCTCTGTCAAGAAAAGGGCCTGCCATGGTGGCCTGTAATCCCAGCACTCTGGGAGGCTGAGGTGGGAGGATCACTTAAGCCCAGTAGTACAAGACCAGCCTGGGGAGCAGAGCAAGAGCTTGTCTCTATTTTTAAAGAGTAAAAAGGAAAAGAAAAAAGAGAGGAAAAGAAAGAAAAAGCAGAGGGAGAGTAGAAAAAGAAGGTGGGGAGGGAGAAAGCCAAACATTCCAGGAGGTTTGGAGGAACGGCGGGTTGTCTGCTGCTGCGCCTGCTCTTCCCCGTTTCCAAAGCACCCTGGCTGCCCCGGCCTGCAGCACAGTGCCTCCCATGCACAAGGGCAGCACGTGCCAGCTCTCCAGAGACTCGTAGCCCAGGAAGCGGACAGCACCCGCACCCCACACACCCGGTAACAGCCTCGCACCGTCACCGCGGGACACTGTGCGTCCTGCACCATGGGGGCCTTGCTCGTACCACTCGGCAAAGTCAGCGTGGGCCACACAGGGAATTGTTTGAGTAACATATACGTGGATTGATCTGTCAGTTAACCCCTGATTCTTCATCATTGTAAACATGAATCCAACACGATTATCAAAGTAGTGGTACTGTGCTATGTGTTTTATATACGTTTTCTGAGCTAAGTACCATACGTCACTAGAAAGTCAATCCCAGGAGTCCAGGCATTTTTGTCTGTTTCATTCACTGCTATACCCACAATGCCTGGCAATTAGTAGGTGCTCAATGAATATTGGATGAGTGCGAGAACAAGGGAAGACTGAATGGATGGAGTTTCTTGGCATGGTTAATTTAACACGGCGTGCTCCTAGCCTCTTGTAGCTTCATAATCAATGCCAACATTTTTATCTCCCCATTTTCTACTCATCCTCCTTGACATTATTCTTGTTTATTTATTCTTCCACATGAAAGGCATGGTTGTTTAGTCATATCCCAAAATTATAACTACTCCGAATACTAATTCTTTTTTTCTTTTTTTTTGAGACAGAGTCTTGCTCTGTTGCCCCGGCTACTAGAGTGCCGTGGCGTCAGCCTAGCTCACAGCAACCTCAAACTCCTGGGCTCCAGCAATCCTCCTGCCTCAGCCTCCCTAGTAGCTGGGACTACAGGCATGAGCCACTATATCCGACTAATTTTTTGTTTCTATTTTTAGTTGACTGGGTAACTTTATTTCTATTTTTAGTAGAGACAGTGTCTTGTTTTTGCTCAGGCTGGTCTCGAACTCCTGAGCTCAAATGATCTGCCCGCCTTGGCCTCCCAGAGTGCTAGGATTATAGGTGTGAGCCACCACACCTGACCTGAGTACTAATTCTTAAGAGAAAATTATGAATAATTTAAATTGACACCATCATTCTATATAGTAATGTGGTTTGCTTTTCTTTTTATTTCACCAGGTAGAAAAATTTACTATTGATCTTGGCCCCTTGTTTATCACTAAGATATCCTTAGATATTTTAGTGAAGGCAGCCAGGAAGCATCTCTTGTGCAGAGAATTCATTTTTGCCACCACTTATTTACATGGGATTTTTTGCTGGTATTCACAGAATATGCGGGCACATTCTGGTAGTTCTTCAGTTGTTTCTTTGGTGCAGAAAAGGGTGTGAAGACGTGTTGAGCCCAGGTCCCAGGAGAGGGTACCAAGAGCTCTTTCTCCAGAGACCCTGTGAATCATTTGGACTTCTGTGACTCTTTAAGCCCCACCCGCCCCGGGGGTGGAGGGTACTGTGACAGAAGTCCCCTGCTGCAGCAGGGGAAGGATGGCTGCAGCACACAGCTGGTGAATTCAGTGTCCCTCAATGCAGTTTTTATTGCCATTTTATTCAAACTTCAAAAAGTAATTTTGAGGTCTGTGTAATATTCCATGATACCAAAGCACCACAATTCATTTAAGAATTCCCCTAGTCCTGAGGGACCACTGTCCACTGGCAGGCAAACGTGTTGGGCCTGACCCCGCTGGCACCTTTCAATTAGGGGCCACCATTTCAGAGACTGCCGGGCAGACGGCTGGAGGAGACGGAGTCAGGCTGGCAGTGGTGTGTGCATTGGGCCCAGCGTAGACCATTTCCCCAGCTGACCAGATCCGAGCTGGCGCCCAGGTGATCCAGCGCAACCATGTGTTTCTGGATTCTCTGGCACTTTGGGCACGGCTCAGACCCTGTGCTGGGTCACATCCAGATCCTTCCCAGTGGACAGGTGAAGAGTTGGATATCCTTCCTCATGACGAAGACGCCTCTTTATGAGCAGAGCCAGGTGAGAATTTCAAGAACTTACGGACTCCATATTATACAGTAAAGTTGTAAACTAAAGTGGTTTGGTCAAGAATTGGGGGGGAGGAATTTCCCTAGTTCTGTTCATTTGAACCAATGCCATCTAATTTGGTGCCACCAATCAGATGTGGCTGCTAAGCACCAGTCTATATATTGTTTTGTGTTTAGAGATGGGATCTCGCTATGTCGCCCAGGCTGGAGTGCAGTGGCTATTCACAGGCAAGATCCCCCTACTGATCAGCACAGGAGTTTCACCTGCTCCGTTTCCGACCTGGGCCGGTTCACCCTTCCTTAGTCAACCTGGTGGTCCCCCGCTCCCAGGAGGTCACCTTATTAGTACCAAACTTAGTGTGGACACCCAATCAGCGTAGCTCACTACAGACCAGAACTCCTGGGCTCAAGCAATCCTCCTGTCTCAGCCTCCCAATTAGCTGGAACTACCCGTCCAGCCCAAGCACCGCTCTAAATTGATATGTGATATAGGTGTAAAATCCCAGATTTCAGAGAACTGGTATGAAAAAAGGTTAAATATTTAATTAATATTCTATTTAATTTAAATAAATAATTATTTTAAAAATAATTTCAATAGTTAATCTAAATAAAACATGTTATATTTTATACTGATTTTACATTGAAATAATAGTCTGGATATATTGGGTTAAAGCATAAAAATTAATTTTATGTCTTTATACCTCTTTTAGTGTGGCTCCTGGAAAGCTAAAAATTACAGATGTGGCTCACACTATATTTCTATTGGACATCACTGATTTAAACTGATTAAACACTGATTTATTCCCAGCTTTAATAAACCATCGTTAACCAAGATTCATCTGTATTGCCATTTATATTCTTTAAAATTTATTTCCCCCTCAGTCATGAACTTATGGGTTCTCTCCTTGGAGAAAATAGCAAAATAAATATAAA